GATACAATATAAAAAAAAAAAGTCGAATTTGCATTGATGGTTGTCGAGATATCTTCTTTCAAAAAGTTGAACATACATTGATTTACTCAAATAACCTATTGCTGTATTGGCACATGATTTGTATCACTTGCAGAAATAAGTAAATCCGCCAATCATAAGACTTTAGCCATACAATCCCGATATATTCCGATTAGCCGGGCTGATCCGTGTTGATTTCATCGCCAGGCTTGTGGCGCAGTCAAAATTCAAAAGTTCGTTTTAAGGTTAGGGCTTTTATTATAGTTAGAGTTTATAAAGAAATGTAGTAAAATTACTCAAGGATAACTTTTTGTTAGTGCGCGAAGAATAGTTTTATGCAATTTAGAAATAAGGCCGAATTTTCCTGTTCGTGTTACGTTGCACCTGATCTTGAATTCTGATTCGTAGTTCAGGCAATCTGCATTCAAAAATAAACTATAGTTCCGAGTAGATCTATCTGATATAGATTTTATCGAAAAAATGGTACATTTATGGCTTCGTGCAGAAACCAAGCCGAAAGAACATCGAGCAGCTCTAACTCCTTCTTCTTGTAGAGTTTTAATTCAAAATGGTAACGAGATTAAATTTTCCACAATTATAATTTACTCGCGGTAGTATTAATCTTTATTATTTAATTTAGGTTTTCAACTCACTGTTGAAAGATCTACGGAACGAATTTTTAGCGATGAAGAATATGAACGGTAAAATTCTAACCATTGAATTTAAATGTGAAAAGTCTTTTTTCCTTATAAAATTTGGGTTGATCGATTTTATATTAATACATGATAAAAAATGCAGAGAAGGATGTCCTTTAGTCCCTTTTGGAACTTGGAAAACTGCACCTTCTGATGCTTACATTATTGGTCTTAAAGAACTTCCAGAGTATGATAATTCGCCACTCTCACATTCTCATATCTTTTTTGCACATTGTTACAAGAATCAGAGTAGTTGGCAAGATATCATTAGAAGGTTTGTGCAAGGCAACGGCATTCTTCTTGACCTAGAATTTTTAACGGATGAGAGAGGTGGGTTTTAATATGTACTGTAACTCTCCCCGAAATAGATTTTATATCCGGATATGGGTGACGCCAAGAGAAAACCAGGAATTCTAAAAATAGACTTCCATCCACAGCGAAGTTGCGGGGTTTTTTA